GAGCTCTGTGCCAAACACGCCACCGGTGAGGTGGGCTCCTGAAGCCAAAATCGAGTCTGGCATTGAACATGTCGTGCAAGGAAACCGCCTGCGTCACTGGCTCCGCTATCATTGAGCGATGCTTCAGGATCGGGATATTGGGCCTGAGCAACTCACTCACCTTTCTTAGCCCCACGACCCAAACTGTAGCATGGATTTATTGAACATACTTGTGACCTCCCGAAAGTACCTCGGGCATTAAGTGAGTCCCTGCATAAATCTGTATTCAAAATGATTGGTGGCCCCCTTCGCTCAAGTATCAGCAAAGAGCAAAAACATCTTGCCTGACATGGAACGCTCATATCACATATATCTTCCTGAACGCGCAGCAGGCACCGCGCCACACCGGGCACCGCGCCACACGTGCCCTGGCGGCAATGGCACCCGAGGCTCCCGGGGCGACTCCTGCGAGCAGCACGAGACTTCAGGAGACTCGCTTGCTCCACCTTCGTTGGTGCACCAGGAGTACAACCCAACGAATCCACAGGCGGTCACAGTGATGCATGAGCATCCGAATAAACAGTCATGCCCTTGCTGCCTGGCAAATGCCCTCAAATCCTTCAATTCCTTTGAGGCTTTTTGCACAAAGACCTCCCGTGTCCGGTCCATGAGCTTGTCATCAAATCGCACCCGTCGGGATGGTACAGTCAAGGCCTGAAAGCGATCGGCTCCGCTTGCCCCACACGCATCGGAGCTGCTGGACCGGGCGGACTGGGGATGGCTGTGCGGCCATTGAGCTGAGGAGGCCATGTGCGAAGATTGATTGAGAAGACCAACGAAGTTATCATTGGCGTTTTTTGATTTGCTTAGCAAAAAGGCAGGCTCTCCTCCCTTGAGGTCCAAGGGTAAACGCTTCTGTGTGACTTCCCTCTCGGGGTTGGACATTGGGTGTAGCACCACCGCTCCTGCAAAGCGTCGTTTTTGCTGGCATTTAAAACCGTCTGCAATCGTTGGGAAGAACCAAGCCTTGCAGATCTCGGAGTACCTCCTGGCTCTGTGGCATGGGATCAAACATAATTGCGTCCTAGACTACGTATGGCGTGTTGGGAGAGGCTTGTCTCGAGCTGACAATCTACTCCCCTCCATGGGTTTGCCTAAGGACTTATGGATGTTTCTGCACAGGATTTGTCTCCTAAGCCTTGTTGTATGTCGGCTGATCCCAAATCAACTGCTGCAACGCCATGGAGTTCCGAGAAGCAAACTATATATATAAGTCCTCGTGAGGTTGCTGCTGCCTCATTAGCTGCGCCAGCTCCACGGCTGTCAATGGAACATACCGATGTGCAGGGCTGTGTTTCCAGTGTTCTCTGTCGCCCTGAGCATTCGGCGGGTACAGTCAGGGATGCAGAGGTGGCACCTATCACTTAATTACATCGGAATGATTGGTCTGCGCTCCCCTCGTAGGTTCGGTCGGTTCAGAGCCCTTGCCTTTGGCCATCCTCACCTCGATGAGGAACATCGAACGTCAACACACTTGAGCATCGGATCCTGAGCATCAAGCATCGGATCTTTGCCCCGAGCCTCAGGAGCTTTGGACACAAAGATTAAAAGCTGCAACCGATGGGCGCTTTGGAAGCATCAAAGCATGGCCTGCGAGTGCATGTCCAACATAAATGTGCTTAAGTATATGTGAACATCAAAGGACAATATGTTTTCTTGAAACCATAAAGTTTTTTCTGGGAATTCGTGCGCACTGCAGCCAGAACCTGCACATGTCCAAGACAATGATTTACATGGTCTGCAAGTTTGAAAGCACCCGCCCTTCCTGTTTCGAAAGATTAGTTGTCTCCTGCCTCTGAGCCAGACTTCCCAGACCTGAACTACAACCAGAAGTCTGTGAAGGCACTCACTTCACAAAGGTTTAGCTTCTTCACATGTGCTACACGTGAAGTCACTGTAGGTCATGAAGGTTCCAAACATCCCCAGCAAAGGTCCGCGCGAGGTCAAGAGCAGCAGCTCTTGGACGCCTTACTTGAGTGGCTTAGGGAGATTGGAAACTAGATGGACCTCCTATGTTTGAGAAAAACAGGAGGACCTCCCAGATTAACAAAATGCTTTGTCTACTTGAACCTCCTTTTGACACTGCACAGCTTATGAGTTCCTTAGGCCCTAGCACTCTTTGAGCAGATCTCGCTCCCTCGTCAGGCTGGCCAAGTGACTTTGGGCCTGGTCGAAGAGCCGAAGAGCCGAAGACGGAGCGAAGTCCATCGGACTTCGTCGCACGCCTCGTTGAAGCTGGACGACACCGAGCGCCTCAGAATACTCGGAGTCCGCCGCCGAGTCCGCCGTCTCTTGGGATGCACCGAGATGCAAAGCGTCACAGTCGAACATGGTCGAAACGTGGCCCAACATTCTGAGCTCTAGAGAATGACATCATCCAGAGATCGGATGCCGGATGCCCAAAACACAGTCCCATCAAACTTTCTCTGCCAATGCTTCGTACTTTGTACTCATTCAGAGATTTGGGTAGAAGGTCAAAAACATTAGCTCTCATCCTACAGAACTAGGTCATAAATGAGGTCATTCACACAGAACGGGTATTCCCGGCATGCGCTTTTCCAGCTTCTCGAGCTTGTTTGCCTGGCGCCTAGTTCGATGAGCAATTCTGATCTTGGCACTTGAAACACTGCAGTATTCGTCTTCGCCGGAATGTCGGAATGTCTTTGAAATGAGCCATCTTCAGACCCTGTAAACCTTGCCTCTATCCTCCAGAACACCAGATGTGTATATATTTTTAGTATATGCAGCAGTAACTGAGAAGTACTGTCCTGCAGGCCAAGCACTAGTTGTAGCTAAGCCGGACAGGTCTCTGCAGGCTGGCGTTGGCACAATCACCGAATCAAGGAGAAGCCATGCAGCTGCAAGGTACTGTATTCTTAATAGTTTGTCTCACGCAGTACATTCAGACTGTCAGAAGCTCCCAACCGCACGCCATCCACGCCTCTTCTGGCACCGCAGTTTCGCAGTCTCCTCACAACAAACCATCAAGCGGCAAGGAGACAAACAGCGAAACAGAAAATCCAAACAAAGCTATACAGACGAGTGTATTACAATACATCACTTCTAAATCAATTGACCGAATCTTTTGGCTTCGCTCCAATGACACAATTATCTCTTGCCTGCAGAGAGTGCCACTTCTCGAGCTCATCACCTTCGAGAGGTCAGCAATGCCAATCATGCGCTGAGAACTGATGGATCAGATCGTTCGTGAACGAGCTGACATGGTTCTGGCAGGGCGAATGAGATTCTGTGCGTCCAGGCCAGTATCTTCATCATGCAAATCACCTCAGCATTCTTTGAACTGCAGAAACTCAGCAAAAATAGAAGTAAAATGCCAATCCTCGCTTGACCCACTCGGCTCCAAACGCAAAGCTTGGGCCTAAGGACTGGACACGAACCGCGCAGCTACGAACCGCGCAACTGCGCTCCCAACTGCATCGCCGAGACGAGCCGCCCAGGAAAGTCGGTCCTAGTGGGATGGTCTGGGACCTGTGGGGAGGGGAAACCGGTGGAACATGCGACGCGAACAACGTGGTGCACTTTTTTGGTGGGACCTGTCTTAAAGTCCCGTTCTGATCATGTTCCAAAAGCTCGTGTGAAGGCTCGGGCTTGCAAAAAACAATCCTGAACACAGTTTGTGTCTGTGTGTATCTCCCTGCAACACATGGTGACTTGACCGGCACTTTCATCCACGCATCCTCAAGCCATCGCAAGTCCAAATCATCCTGCATCAGGAAGAGTCTCAAGTAGGAATTGATCACAAGCATGAACGAAGGTGAGATGAAGTGTCGAAGAAGTGCTACCATGTGTCCCTAAACTTTGGGCACTTGCTCAATTCTTATCATGCCCCTAAGACGCTTCTTTATGCCATTATGCAATACCAGACTTGCTAAGTTCAAGAGTGTCAGTTGCCACCGATTGAACAAAGCTTGTCTTCAAACTGTCGGAACGAATGCCTCATCGCCGCCAGAGTCCTCTTGAAAAGGCAATGTCTTCGAGAGTTCTTGCGTTTTTTGCAAACAAACTCCTAAGTGCACTTGAAGAAAGAGGCAGCCAACAAAACATGTCTTTTACGTCTGAGATATCTGGATCTAGGTCAAGTTTAACTTGATGTTACTTGATCGTCCCATACAACGGCAACTCTCTGGGAAACACTTACTACCTCGTACAACACCCGCTCCTTTGGAATCTGCATTGTCATAGCCACTGCCATTGTGCATACGGACGTCCCAAGGCTACAAATCACATGTCATGTCTGGCCAATCATTCCACATCTACTGAAGCAAACCTCTTATCCTATTCAATACTTGTTGCGATAAGGTCTCCGAAGCACGGCTGGAAACTTGAGCAGCTGAAAACAGAATAGGTCGGATGATACAGTAAACAAACCACGACGATTGGAATCGCTGAAAGGTCGCGATTCGCCTGACAAATCCCCACAATCCTGGTGCGGCTTTTCTCATGCAGCTTGGTTCAAGCCCACCCATGGTAGTAGACCTGGCCAGCAAGTGAAGTCTCGGCCACACTGCACCAACTCACTATCTGCGCAAAAATGAATCCCGTCGGACAAGCCCAACCGGTGAGGACTGGAATAGCAATGATGGCGTTGTCAAACGTCTTGCCTTGCCAATCAGTGGAAGGCAACAAATGAATTCATCCGGGCGGTGCAGCAATTTAATTTCATGATGATGTTGCCTGTTGGTATCCGGTAGTCCAGCTGAGTTCACTATCAGGCTTGTTTTTGAGAGATGAAGCAACAAATTCACCAGTTGGCACAATGAAATCACACAAGCCGTTAGAGGTTTGGCCTTGCCCTGCCTCCAAATGCCTCTGCCAAGGCACAAAGAATTGCGAGGACCGCCTGATTTTCGGATTCGTTTCACCATGCCGTGCGAGGCACAGTGCGAGGCGAAGGTGCCTCCGAATTCGCATTCCGAGACCATCAACCGAGCGAGGAGCCCTTTTTTGTTCAAATCTCCGGCTTCTCCACGGAGGTCTGGCCCGTGAGGGGATTCCAATAGTAGAAAATGCTGGGATCTCGTCGAGATTGCTTCTTCTCCCAAGGAGGTGGTGGCTCAACTAAGGTCTCCATTGTTACGACATTGAGGTAATAGAAAATTCCAGGTTGGCGTGTGGACTCCCTTCGTTGCCACACTGCTGGAGCCGGCTCCGGCACTGGAAATTCGGGAGTTCGAGGTATTGGGGCCACGTTGGCAGGCTCCGCGGCAGCAACTTCCATGCGCGGCCTCTTTGGTTCTGGCTCTGGCACTGGCGTCGCTTTTGGTATCGGCCGCCACGTTCCCCAACACTCATCATCCTCATCTTCATCCGTGTTGCTCACACCCACAGTGTTTGCGGAATTGGTGTCAGTCCTCCACCAAGAATTGGATTTCGGAGCCCCACCGTTGCCATTTCGGGAGTCCTCCCACTTCCAGCTTTCGCTTTGGGACTGCCAATCGGCACGACCTCCCCATTCGTCCGGCTCGTTGGGCTTCGAACTTGATGCCCCATTGGATTCATGAGAGCCGGACCCATTGAGCCCGGCAGTCTTCATCTCTAAGATAGCTTGTGCATTCTTTGGGGCTTGGTGCACTTGAAGCAACTTTAGGCCTGAGTCATATTGCTTAAAAATCTTCTTCAGTTGCAAGTGTGTTCTTCTTGACAAGAAGAGTGGGCACCCCTCCTTTACTCTATCCAGGTGCAACTCTGAAAGCAAGTTCCCAAGGTCTTGTGGCAGTGGCGACACGACCTGATACCATTTGTCCGAGAAAGGCTCAAGGAACTTCGTCTGGTACGAGTGCAGGAACATTCTCTTGGCCCAGTCACGCTCAGATTGTGGGGCACCATAGAGGTCATCGGCCACCAAAGGATGGCCAATTTCAGCACAGTGGAATCTGATTTGATGTGTACGACCAGTGATGATTTGCAAGCGAAGTAGTGTGTACTTCTCTTTCCCGGAGCTAAACCAGGCGATTGGATCATAGAAGGTCAAAGCATATAGTCGACGACCTCCAGACTCGCCTTGTTCGCAGCTTTCATCTTGATCTCCTCGTGGTTGATTGGTCTTTTGCCAATCTTTCTCATTCCCCTCATCAGCCTTGCAAGGGTACGCTTTCCATCTCGTGTTGTCGAACTGGATTGCGATCTCAATGCGGCCTCGCCGGTTTGATGGAGGTCCGTCAGGCCCATGAATCCAGTCAGATCCTTTTTCAACTCTTGTGGTTGGTATCTTCACCTGACCTCGAACCAAAGCAAAGTAGAACTTCTCCGTTCCGCCTTCTTCCAGGCTGTGTTCACTACTGAATTGCTTGCGAATCTCAGGGAAACCTCTGCGAGTCTTGGCAGCCACCATGACGCCAGACGTTTCTTTGTCCAATCGATTGCAGCATCCTGCTTGCATGCAAGCACACGACTCACATTTTCCACAACCACAAGGTTGCACCCAGTTCTCATCTTCCTGCTTCCAAAATTCCTTTGTGCCAATTGCTGTTTCATACTCAAACTTCAATGCCAAATACTCGTGGATTTGGATGGTTGTCTTATCGCAATTGAGCAATTGAGTTGACGTTTGAACCTTTGTTCGAGGTGGAAGCCTGCCATAACCACCATAATTACAGGTAAACATCGGTGGCTTGTCCACACAAAGAAGTTCATCGGTCTCACCAAGAAGCTTTGGAGGGGTGTGCTTGGTGCGCACATGCCCTGTCAAAATGAAGTACTGGTAATTTGTGCAGACCTCTGCAATCTTGGGCTCCAAGGCATGTTTTACACATGGCTCGTAGAATTGGCTGACGTTGAACAGCTCAAAGTCGACGAGCTCCTTGAGCATGCCCTTGGCTTCTTCCCAAGCCATCTTGCGCTTTTCATCATCCTGGGGGTTGATGATTTTCCAAATCCTTTTTGCTGTGCTCCATACAAATTTGGCCAGCTCCATGCGAGATGCGGCCTTCCCCTGGTCCAAATACTCCTGGATAGAAGCGATTTTGTCTTCCATGAGGTCTGCTAGTTCTTTGGTGAAATCTGTCACATGTTTCGCCGGCATCCCGGCATCCACCACTCACTCGAAAAGTGCTGTGAGGAAGCACCCGAAGGCTTTTGGCTGGCCTTGAAGGCTATCCTTGATAGAAGGGATGGAAAGCGAAATAGACCATGAAAAAATCATTGGGAGGACATGGCTCAGGGCAATTCCTAACTTGGAAATGCTTGGAAATGCCTTGACGGATGATTTGCTACATTGACTGTTCCACTTAGAATGGCCCTCTCAGACCAGTGACACCTTGCAGGCCACGATTTTCAGCTCATCTTCCAAATAACAAAGGCAGTATGGTGCAATCTGCTCTGGCTTGAGATTAGCTTTGCACAGCTGCGTCAAAATGATTCGTGGCTTCATAAAGCTGCTCAACAAACCAAATAAAAACCAATCACTTGTGCAGATGGAACGAATGCCGCAACAAAATCACATCCAGCTGCATGAAACGAGACCTAAGCACGATCTGGGAATCCAGACCCTTGCATAGCCAGGAGCATCCAAGCTGGCCCGGCGCAGGTTTTGTCGACTTTTCATGGATCCATTGAGGTTTCTCAGCTATGTACTCACCAACATGAAGTGGTATCTAGACTTGACTAGACAATAGGCCGCCACCTGAGGTATGCCACCACCAACACAGCGAGAGTCCTCTCAATGCAAAGCAACAAGTCGTTCGCGCAATGGCCACATACATTTTCAGTGCCCTGTCCCCATGATGGTCTTGTTCTCGTACCAAGCGCGATTAAAACCTTGGCTTTGAAAGAAGACAGTAGCAAATATGATATGTCCTGCAAATTGTTCAAGTTCTTATCCTTTCTTCTGTGAGCAGCTGGCCTCGTTTGGAGCAAAACTTTCCAACGACTGCTCCTGCCTAAGACCCGACCCGGCTAGATGACAGCACAAAAAAATGCAGGAACAGCAAAACGAGCACCATACGGGATCGGCGAAAAACAGAGGTGCTAATGCCATCACAGGCTGCTGCATGTAGAACCTCTGCAACAGTGGAGTGGAGTGCAGGGACACCAAGTGGACCATGTTGGAAAACACCACCTTGTTGCGCCAAAGTGTCCTGTTGTCAAAACTAGAAACCAAAGAAAAACTACCAAAATAAGCTCCAGGGGTTTTGGGGGGGCAACTATGTTTGGGCATCTTCCTTTTGTTTGCATTGATCCCACGATGAGATTCTGTCGAATGTTTCAATGGAAGGATATGCTGGTATGGGGTTAGTATGGGGGGGCTCTTTTTCAGTGCTGGACACCGTTGATAGTGCTGTTTGCTTGACATGTGTCAGTAGGAGTCGCAAGGACTAGGATCTGTTCGCAAAGAATTCCACTAGAAAATGATGAACAAGGTTATCATGACCAGTGAAGCATGCAATGATCGAGAGGAAACATGCTGGTGAAGCCAGGCGAAGACAATGAGCAGGTACACCGAAATTCCTGCCCACGCAAACAAATGCTATAGGATGCATCGAACTCCTTGGAATGATTTTTAAGGCTCTCCAAAAGGAGTTGAAGAGAATCGACATCAACCAGACACGTCACCTCTTTTTTCAGAGATTCTGTCCTACATCGTAGACCTCTCCAAAGCGAAAGCTTGGGACCTGAGGTGGTTGAGGTCAAGGTCTCCCAGGCGTTTCCAAAGCAGCAAAGAAGAGGTAAGGAAAAATGCATGCACCCAGGACCCAAGTTTGATAGAAACGGTTTTCAAGACTGCTTTTGAGGTGAATCACGTGTTTCCTGTCGTAAGTTCCTCATGGGTCATAGGCTATTGTTTTTTGATCTCGAGCGCTAAAGGAACGGTTCAATTCTGTACATGTTTGTCCTTTTGTGCATCGAACAAATGAGCGCTGCGCCCATTTGGGAACAAGCCGCCATGTCATTGACAGAGAAGTGACCACCACGGCATACACAAACCACCTTGGGGTCATGACTTCGCAACGAACAAGCGGCACAAGCACAAGAAGCTACTAGGAACAAAGGGCATCGCTACTAGGACCTAAGCAAGAAGCTACTCTCTATAGTAGTTCCTGGCATTGTTACTAGTAACAAGGACGCTACGAGGAACCGAATCCGATGGACTCCGCCTGGCCAGGGGGTCTCTGGAATCCAACAGCAGCATGAGCGCACCGCTTCCAGCATGGCAGGCCTCGGCGTGGCGGTCTTCACCGGAGCGTGGCGGCTCCGAGCGTGGCAGCTCCGGACCTTTCGGGCTGCGAAAAGAGACGGCAAAGCCTGGAGCAGAAAATGAAAGCAACTCGGATCGATCCAAACAAACGAAAGAATAAGGTGGCAAGTGGTGCTTTGTGTGGAGAAGTCCTAGTGAGAAGTCCTAGTGGTCTACTAACTTGCGCTATCTCGGGGTGGTTACTAACTTGAAAGTCTGTTTGGAATCCTTGCAGTGAAGCAGGGCAAGGGCACCAAGGAGTTTTTGACCTTATAAAAGTCCTGGCCGACCTTGTCTCCAAACTGCAGGAAAATCAGCAAGGCAGTCTGCCTTAGCGGACTTCTACACTGCTGCTTTCAAAGGCAAAGTCTTGTGAGGCTTGTACAGGGTAATTATCCTGATCCTGACCACTTCTGGGGCACAAACAAGGCAATAATCGTGTGCACAGACAAATGCAGCATTGCACCAGATTGTCTCAAAGGAAAAAATGGGTTGCACGCATCCACTTACTGCATTAAATGCTGCGTCCAATAAATATGTCCTGTTGCAACCCTCTTCTTGGAGCTTCAAATCAGCTGCAGGCATCAAGACTGAAGGCTTGCAAGGGAGTTCCAACAATAAAGACTTCTGTGCAAATCGCCATATCCTCTCGCTCTGCCACAGAGACGCTGCCCTTTTCTCAAGCTTGGAAGCTACTCCATGGACTTCTGCACTCCATCCGGTGCATCCTTGGTCACATGAGAGGTTTAGTAGTCACCCACTTGAATCGGCATGTAGGCAAGCAATCATAGAAGTGAGAGAAATTTTGAGGTGTAGCCAACAACTGACGTGGTGGTACTAAGACTACCCTCTACCCAATGCAATGTTGAAACCCGGATGTTGCTTGACAGATATACGGTTGTCAAAAACCGGTAGGGTCAAGCAGGCTTGGTGGAGACTCACAGGTCACATTTGCATAGTTTCCACGGCATCAGTTACAGGAAGGACTAAGCCATGTTGCCAAGAGGAGCCAGAAGCAGCCAAGCACTGCAAATATCATGTATATAATATATATATATTTAGACTAAGTCTGCCCCACAGTGACCACCCCATATGGAAACTTGACAGTGAAAATGGATGGGTCTCCCCATGCATGTACAAAGGGAAATAGGCATTGGAATCAAGCAACTTCACCATCCAAGCTGAGACTTGAGGACTTCTTTTTGCGTCAAAAATACACTCCAATGAGTTCTGTCGGCCAAGTGACCTTGATTCTGGGCCCAATCAAGAGCTCCATCTCTTGGAGGAGCTCGGCTTCGATCTCTGGCCTCGCGTCTCCGGTTTCGCAGCGCTGCGGACAAAAAAACCTTTTGTTTCAGCTGTCACTGGATTTCTTTAAAGGATCTTAATCCATTGAACGAGCACTAACGCAAGAAAAGGTTAGAATTCACGCGCAAAAGTTTGTGGCTCATTGAAGACAGGTGTGAAGTGAAGTTGATCTCACTATCTCGCCCTTTGATCAGATACAAGTTGGAATGGGCTGAGACCAGCACTGCATGCCCCAGGCCTCAGTGACTATTCAAGCATGAAACGCCTCGGGCACTTTGGATATTTCACCAAAATTGAGGGGATCCTAGGTGGAATAGAAAACGCCTCTTGGTCATCTCAGTTATGACAGAGGCTTGCATGACGCTGTCGGGCACTTGCGCGTTCCTACAACCCAATTCATGAGAGGAAAGTCTATCTCTCCCTCTCTCTCTTTCTCGCTACCGCTCGCTCCCTTTGTCAGGGAGGTTGACCAGAAAGGTCTTCAGAAAGGCCACACAAGAATGAAACACCCCTCCGTTTTCTAACTTTAATGACGCGAGGTCTTGAAAAAATGGCACTGAAGACGCTGAAGGTTCGTCTGTTGCATCCACTTTTGAAGACTTCTGAAGGGATGCTAGCTGGATCACCCAAAGAACCATTGAGACTTACTCAGGCCGCCCACAAACTTCTTGAGGGAAGCTGCACGCCCCGCCTCACATATGACAGTGCCCAATCTTCTTACGAAGCCCCACTCACACAGTCACAACCACAGCCTTTTCGCCAGCGGTCCACCACCAACCCACCGCACCTGACAGTGCTTTCGACTCTGGCCGATTCGGAGAATCGGCGATCTTTTTAAACCTCATTTTACGGCTTTGAATCTTCACAGCTTTACAGCCTGCTTTTCTTTGAATCCTCCTGTTTCGTCTTCACAGCTTTGCCCCGGCCAAGCCCCCACCAACCTTCGCTGGGCTGAATCGTCTGTGAGTCCTGTGAGTCCATTGCGGAAAAGAACAGTTCCAATACCATCCAATCGTCCAGCTGCTCAGTGGTTGTGCTGACATGCTCCTGGAGGGTCTGCTTTCGAACATTGTTGGCATATCCAGCTTCCCAGTCCTGGTGGTGACATCGCACATCCAATGCTGTAGGTAACGCTCTGAACACAAGCCCTCAGTCCTCTTTCTTTACATGCTTGTAGGACTCCTTCCAGCACTTTCGACGAAACATGCAGGCACATGTAGCCTGGACAAGCACACAGCTTTGCAAAGCTCCTTGAGAATTTGGCACTCGCCCACCAACCATAGCCTAGGCAGAAAGCATTCCTTCACCTCAACCCCAAACATCCAATCTCAAAGTCCTAGCTCACCAGCTCCTTTCCGCCAGAGCTGAGATTCCAAACCACTCATGTTGAGTGAGCTCCCTCTCTGGGATCATGTCGAGGCCCTGCGCTGCGCGCGCTGGTCCCATGACCATGAAGACCCCATGTTACTAGCCCGGTCAGCCTCGGTAGCTCCAAACTGATGAAGCAAGTAATGTACCTCTCCAAGAGCAGAATGCCAGCAAAGTAGCTTTGATCAAGGCCTATTGGAGCAGACCTACAGAGAACTGACGATTGATGTGTTGATTCTTTTCGGGGGTTTTCTTCGTTGACTTCGACAAAAAAAAACTCCTCACGCGACAAATGCGAGGCTGGGCCTTTAGGCCTTCAGCTCCAGGCCTCGTTGTTCGAGATTTCATACCTCAGGCCCTCCAGCATTTCTGGCACCTCCAGAGATGTCATGTGGAGCTCCCATAATCGCCACAGTGTCCATTGCAATACAAATGACTGTTAACTTATAACTTCTATGCATGCCTTATGCTATTGGGATATCCAGGGACATCTACAGTAAGTGGTATTTGTTACTTGAAGACAGAAAAAAGAGAAGAAAGGGAAAGAAAAAGAAAGCCAGACGTCTCGTGGACACCCCGAAAGCCTGTTCCGCAGTGATCTTGGAAGAATCACGGAGCTGTTGGGTCCAGACCTGTCGAAACGGGGTACCAAACGGGGCACCCATGGCTCGGTACTCTCCGTACAAGGCATCGACATGCTTTACTCAAAGGACGGACTGTTCAAGGAGTCGACCAAATCAGAAACGGTTCAACCTTTCTCGGGCAAAGCCCATTCATTTGCCAAAAGTGGCCTCAAAACCCGGCCAAAATGCGCCTCGCCTTCAATGCTTGTCGCTCAAGCCGTCCCTCCTTGACAATTTCTCAAGTTACTTCCCCAAAGCTACAGTGCTTACTGTACCAGTGCTTACAATCCTTTCAATCTCTTCCTAACCCAGTGTGAAGAGTCCTGCGTTCTCTCCAGGACCAGCAATGCTCGATCTTCTTTCGTGGCATTGGCCCTGTCCTCAGTTGGGCAGCAATCGGCTCCAGCCAAACAAGCTACTATGCTATATGATGCTGCCGCCCAGGCACCACTACACGCTGATGGTGGGCGCCCAATTCCTCTTCAGTCATGTCCAGAATGCATTTCTCTGTGATGATGGGAGTAGCTAGCGACTTCCGCCACTCCTGGCTGAGGCTTGACTTCGTCCGTCAGAACCCGACACGAGATCCCAGCCTCTGGATCCACCTTGGAAAAGCTCTGCCATTTCACAAAAGAAGAACCGAAGTCAATGTCTGACCACATCCCGACACAACTCACGACACAACTCACGACACAACTCACGACACAACTCCGAACTGCGCACAGAGGTGTGCGATGATTCCGTAATGTATGTCTTGCACCCTTTGCACCCTCTTCACGCTCTGCTATGCAATCCAAGAGGCATTTTTGTTGCGGCAAAGCTCTTCGAAAGTGGATGTCATGTTCAATCTGGGCCACAGCTTTGAGCCGCTTGGGTGTTAGGAACCGCGGTGGGATATCTCAACTGTCACTTTTGAGTTGTGTGGGTCAGTCACAACTCGAAGGAAAGAAGAAATCATAGACCAACGACCAAAGACTCGCAACCTCCGCCTCCGACGTGTGAGACATATTTTGCTTCTTCATGTCTTCGACATGATGTCTTGGGGGGTGGCAGCTCTGCACACCGTGAAGACCGAAGATTGCTGATGAGAAATCGGATGTTATTTACAGTAAATCAAATGTCGACAAGTGTTTTCCCATGTCTTCAGTCCTCGTGGACAACTCACGTGCACACTGATTCGTGAAAACATCGCTTGAACAGGACATTGGTTCAAGACTCCAAGACCCAACAACCCGGCAGATGGGCTCATGATCAGCCTCAGTGCAACAGCCCGCACGTGCAAAGTCTGCAGCCAAGGTGTCCAACTCTTCAAGATCTGGGACTTTGGGGCAGTTCAGGCTAACTTCGGACTAAGCGCTATCTTTGCCAACCCTCCGGCACCACCAAGGTCTCAGGGGTAGCCGGAGCAGCCTTGCATCGGTCTAAACATGCATTCTGAATGTGTAGGTTGTCTGACCTGTGTCGTAAGAACAGAAAGAAGGTGGGCTGCCTCCAGAACAGATTTCCTTTTCATTAGATGCTCCACCTTCTCCTGACAACAAACAGTCACCAATCGTTCAGTCCATTGAAAGGAGGTGTTATCTTGCAAAAGAGCAATGTCGAACGCAACTTTGCAAATGCCAGATCGTTAGAAAAAGCTGTCGAACGCCGCGCCTGTTTCATCTCCAACTCTTGAACTTGCGCATTTAGGTTGTCATAGCGCTGCGCCTAACGACTCTAGACGGCACCGCACAGCTTCGAAACATCTGAATGACATCAAATCATGTCCGTGTCCAGACTGGGCATCAAGCAGCATTCATCTCCATTTCTGAAAGCTGCCCATTGATCTCCTGCACCGGAAATCCATCTGCTCCGCACAACCCGCTGGCATGGATGCTGTCAGAGTTTTGTCCACCTCTTTCTTTAGCGTCAGCCTAGTTACTTGCCATGCACTTCACAACTGCAATAATGCATCGGCTGGATAGGAGCACTGAGGACGCAGGTGCCTGCACTTGCAAAGAACGGATTCCCAACAGGGTCATGTCGTGCGTTGCGTAGGCTGTCCTCTCTCATCGAGATGAGCTCAGTGTGCGCTTTCAGCTCTTGCGGGCTGATAAACTCCTGGCGCATTTCGACATTCTTCCAGCCAAGCAGCCCCTGTGTTTAAGGGTTGTTCACTGCCACGAAGGGTCGGCTCCTCGTCGGAGGCTCCAGCGCCTCTCTTGAAGAGTTGGATGGCTTTTCTGGTCTCCTTTGGCACACAAGCCTGCAAACAATGCCAAGCGTCATTCACGGCACTGAAAATGTGCGTCACTTCATTCATATAAAAGCTGTTTGATCTTTTACCTTTCCTTCGGAACCATGACAAGCAGGAATTGGCCTCCATACAGCCAACCAAGACCTTGAGCTCTTGAACCTGGCCACAGTCTCTGTATTCCTCTCACCTCTCCATGCATTCGAAGAACACAGCCTCTCGGCGGAGGTCCTGCTTGAAGGTTTCCTGCAAACAACAGTCGCAGTTGAATCAGGCAGTCTCAAAAATAGAAATGGTTCATTCTATGAAGTATCCAATCTTAGAGCACACTTCCTCAACACTTCCTTGAGCCATGGATTCGTTCGCGGACCAAGCGCAGCAAAAGGGGTCCCTGCAACCTATTTTTAACAAAAGAGTGCCAAATCCCAGCCGGGCCTGGTCTTCCTTCACAATGATCAACTGGGGTGGGACCTGGACAAACATGTTTCTTGGGACTGAGTCCACACCACCCGAAAGCATGGAGAGCCATTGGCCATCATTGACCTATCGGCTATAGATGATGCCAGGCATTTCAGACCTCCTTGACGGCATCCACATCCAGCTTTCCAAGCAGGTGCTCAACGTTCTTCACACGTTGAAAGATCTGCAGCCCAGGTTTGAGAAGAAACAAAAATTACATCAGAAACTACTCCATATTCACATGCCCAAGGTCAGTCCAGTTGTCGATATCTGCAGGTGGGGGAACCCACCATTTCGAGCTAGTGCTCCCAAGGCCTCCTGGCTACCCGACACTTCTTCCAGGAGCTGCAGCCGCTTCTGGCACCACGAACACACGAACATGACAAGATGTGACAAACAGACAGAGTCTTGTTACTACTAGCGTGGCACTTGTTACTACTAGCGTGGCACTTGTTACTAGTAGCTTATTGTTTCTATTTAAAAAACAAGGCCTACTTGGCCTGCGAGTATCTTTTTCAAAACTGCGTGCCTCGATGGTGAGTCCCTTTCTCTTGGCCACCAACTCTTGGATTCCTGGGACTCAAAATCAGCTCATTGGTGTGCAAAACAAAAGTACTGTAAATGGCTGTAACTTCACAATCTGGGCTTGGCGACTCTGCTCCAGCCACGCCAGTTTATTGTGCGAAGCCGCACTCACTGGACGTCCCTCAAAACGAATTGCATGGATAAAACAAAGAAAACCAAAGGAAGAAAATGAAGACACCTGCATTGTGCTTTATCCACCCCCAAGATCCCTACAGTACAAATTGGAGTGACTGACTCCAACTCACCAAATTCAAGCCGATATCTGCTTCGAGCATCATTGATTTGCGCATACGCGAATCTCTCGAAATGACTCAACAAATGCTTGTCTCAGGCACCTCAGCCGGTTGGTCCTCCGATATGTATCTGGTCAGTTCAGAAAGAGCCGATCTCCTTGGCTTCCAGCTGCTAAATGACATGTGAAGTCCTACTGCTCCAGCATTCTCTCGGCTCATTGGCTTCGAAGCCCCAAAAAGAGCAGTAATGGCCCTCTATGTGTTTATATATAGATATGGTAATATGGAACATGTCTGTCCCCTAAATATACGTCAAAAGCACCGCTCTCCAGTAAGAATAGAACTCTCACATAAAGGTGATGAGCGAGCTGTCAAGACTGCATCCAAAGGGGCAAAGTGGAGACCTCCACAGCCCTGTCTTGCAACTCCTGAACGCAATATTCAGGTCGTTTCAGGTCTCTGACTCAACACCAAAATCAAAATGATCTGTTCTCAACTCTCAACCCCTCAAGTTTTTGAGGTTGACGACTCTTGAGGATGCAAGCATCACTAACAAGACCCTTTGAACTGAACAAGTGGAATATCTTCAACGCCATTCTCGCTGTTCTATTATGTCAGGTGGAGGATCTGTGATTTGTCCATCCCAAACTGCTCTGAGACCAACATGCACCAAGCACCCCCCGCGTGCTCCTGGGACAAGGAGGCTTGGCTGGACTGAAGCTCCGAGAAAGCACCCTTCCATTCGGCAGCCTGTGCGGCGTGTCCCAATACAGTACTCAGGTTCCTCTCAGACCCAGTAGCAGCATGAGAAAGGTATAGAGGGTAGAAAGCCTTTGACAGAAGACACCCCCTATGAGAAAAGTTTGCTACACCCCTCTTCAGCAAACAAGTGGACACCTCCAAATCTGCCATCTCCCTGCCTGCGCCTTTGGAACTCCGACCGGCACACCTTGACCGCACTGAAGCACTCTGACAACAGTCTATGAAAAGTGGTATAGCCTTGAGTGGTAAGGATAGCCCTCGTATACCAATTAGAGGTTATACAGGTTCGCCAGTCATGTCACCTGCCAGTTCTTGTTTCGTCTCTCAGTTGCCAGCTGGTCTCCACCCGCATCAAGCGTTGCTCAATCTGCAGGGCAATCTTTACTAGTAGCAATGCCAAGGAGCTACTAATAGTGTCCTTGCTCCTAGTAGTACTGCCAGGAGCTACTAGTAGCTTCTTGTTACTAGTAGATTCTCCAGAATGGACCAAATTAGGAGAAGAGACGGACTATGAATGCAAAACAAAAGGCGGGGCTCGGAAAACGCCATCTGCAAAGCACCTCGGAGAAGCGCTGAATATGGGAGAGATGAGCCTGACAAACAGGATAAGGGAAACAACAGGAGACAACAAGTAACCAATCTACACCGAGACCGCATGAGACAACTGTGATCTCAAAGACAAGCCTACCTACAGTTGAAATTTGCAAAAAGTTGAGCTTGGATTCAGCATGTCAGAGCCGTTGTATCAACGAGAATTCAATTGTCTCCTTGTCAATGTCTGTAAAGCGCTGCATGATGCTGGGATCGATGTCCTTTGGGCCTACCAGGGTAGCTTTTGGCTTCAAGCTTGTGAAGCTCTCACCATTAGGTCTTCCAAATCATGACAAGCCTTCGGATGCTGGAGATGTTGGAGCAGGCACTCCAGAGTCTCGCAAGAACAAGCCACGAAACACGTGGAGAAAAAACATAAGTGTGGCCTTTTGGAGCAAAAGACTCAGGAGTCTGCCAAGCGATTGCCATATGTCTCTCATTGAAGTTTCTAGCTGCTGAATCCGCGACCTCAGTTGGTGCCAGAGCAAGTGATTCTGTGATTCTTTGTAAAGAAACGACTCTGGAGTCGGCAAATCACTCCGCTGTTTGGCATTCTACAAGGAGAACAGTTGAACTCGGTTGACCCACAGATCGAGCAAACAAAGCTACAAGCGCCAGCTTTTAAGCACCCTGCAGAAGAGACTGGTTGATTTCATCCAAGTCTGAATGCCTCACTCTGCTTCCTTTGCTAAAAGCTGTATGCTTGGTTTCAAAGCTCTTCATGCAATGATCCTTCCTAGGATGGACAAGTGAAGAAGAGACCCCCAGCCTGCTCTGGGGAGCCGCCTCTGCTTCTGTCCTGATGTTCTCCTGAAGGATTGCAGCCACTTCACCCTAGTACTAGTTCGGTCTCTGTGGAGCTCTAGTGTCAGCCAGAGTATCCCTTCTGACTGAGCACTAGTGGAGCAACAGTGTCGCAACAAGCCTAGTGCGGCAGTGAGCCAGGCTCCTGGTATCCTGCTGGGGCATCTACCTGAGAGCTTCCACACAAAAATAATATCTACCACGCCAGAGAACTTCTGCAAGGCGCCTACGTAGAAGTTGTGGCTTTCAAGGTCATGCCAAACAGGGTCCAGGCCGGATCACTTTTTGTCTGAGGTGCCACAATCACCTGCATAGAGAGTTTGTCCTTCCGTCCACAGCTTTTCGCAGCTTCTCGCCTGTGGCTTCCGGGATTCCCGTGCCACCAGCTCCAGCTGTGCCTCCACCTGGGCTGAGGTGGAGGAAATTTGGTCGCCAAAAAGCTAAACGACGCCCAGAGCCTTAGTTCGCAGAATCTGAAAGCTCTCCTGGGAGTGAAATTGCTGCAACAAAGTCCAACAAAGATGACGTTGGGATCAATATTGCTGACCCCAAATGTTTATATTCCAGAAACACTAAATCAAAAATCGCTCCTGCAGCTGCCGTCGCTCCACGGCTGCATCCATGTGCACCAAGCGTGCCAACGAAGCAAGCTCCTCCATTCACAACTGTAGCAAAGATTGAGACAAAGAAAAAGCACCTGCCACCAATTTTCGAGCAACAAACATATATACAAAGGTCACGATTGTTTGACAAATCGGCAGGTAATTTTGTGACTTCCTTGGCAACTCAACATCTACAGCACATGCCAAAAGTCTACAAATCTTCTGGGTTCTTTGAGGTCCTGGCCTCCTTGCAGCCACGAGCAGCCTCATCCAAATCACGAGAGATTCGAGCACGAAGGGCCTGGCTCGAGCCAGTCCACTTCACAAAGGTCTGACAGAGAGAGAGAGAGAGAGACATATGTGTATATATCTATATATACATACACACAAAAATAGAAAGAGAAAGAAAAAGGAATTTGCAGGCATTGCTTCAAGTCCATCATCGTTTCAATCAAGCACGTCTCACTCCCACATACCTCCAAACTGAGTGTAGTTTTATGATCCATGTCACTGCGGAGAATTCGTCCCTCCTCTAAGTCCGAGCTCTTGAGGCATCCATCCACCGAAGCTCTGAGAGATTGCAGACCTTGGGCACTCGTGGATCACTTCAAGATTGTCACCCACTCTTGGGCCAAATGGGGCAGACTCAGGTCAATTGGTGAAGGGTCACCCGAGACAAGAAGGCGTCAAAGCTACAATCCAACAAATCGAAGGCCAGCGTCAAGGCTCCCCACGCATTTCGGTTTGGGCCATGTCTCCCAACCGTCTCTGCTCTTGTTGTCGCAGCATGAACTGCGCATCCTACACGAAACCCATCAAAGGCCTTTGTAGAAAAAATACTCTTCCATTCACCTCGATTTTGGAGAAAAACGTGTTGTATCAACAAACTTACCCACTGCACGTCCTCAGGAAGGCTCGTCGGCACATCCACCTTGGGGACCATCAAAACGAGAACGAATTCAAGAACTTTTGGACTCAAGGAGCATACTTTCGTGATAGCATGCTTGGCCTGCTCCTGAACATGCAATCAGACTCGCAGCTGTCTAACTGCCGCAGTTTAGCCGGTCAAAAGTTTGGAACTTGACGAGTCTCGCCTGAAGCTGCTGCAGCTCTTCGCTCGTTGTCACGTGTTGCCTCCAGTTGAAAGAAGCTCTTCAAGACTGAATTCTCCAGATAGAGATTTCAGTTTCCTGGTGTAATTGATTCACCAAAATGTCATGAACCATACGGCTAATAATTATACTACTATGAACCACTGGGCATCTCAGCTGTTGCAGCTTCTGCACGGCAGCATAAAGCCAGGACCTGGACAGCAAATAGAAACCCACGAAGGCGAACATCGAAGCACAAGCAGTCTAGAACCCAGAATCTCGGATGGACAGCCCAAAATGAAATGCCCATTGAGCTTCAGGAAGCGGCATTGCAGCATGCAAACGTCCTGCCTCAAGTGCTCAACTGCTAGAAGCAAGAAAGAAAACAACAGAAACAAGGTTTGCCAGGTTTACTAGTTTGCACGGACTGAGGAATCTCAGAAATCTGGCAACACAAGCGACCCAATCTTTATGCATCCATATCCCAGCGTTGATTCACGTGCATAGCATTTTCCATCCAACAAACAACTCCTTCACATTCCTAAAGTTTCCCTCATAGCAGTTTTGGGCACTGCACCTCCACTTCCACAACAGGAACTCGCATATCAAGCAGCGCTGACAAAGGTGGCACGGCCACCTGTAAAATCAAATAATCCAGGACGAACAAAATGAAAAACAAATGGATCCAAATAGTTGCAATTCTGCCTGCCTTCGCCGCACCAACCTTGAGAAACAATCACATGTCTTCTGCAAAAAATTGTTGGTCGTCTCGGTTCCGATGAGAACAAAAACTGCAATGAGTTTACATCTGACATGCCTCCTTCCAATCATCGTTGTTTTCTTGCATGGCGCCACACAGCTGCACAAGTGGTTTTTCACGGACGATTATTAAGTAGGATCGATGTTTTTGTTGCCTCTTGATCTTTCACACGGCCAAAACCTCCATTGTCCAGCACATGTCAAAGCCCTTGGAAAATTTATTAACAAAGGCCGAGGATGTGCAAATATGATGATATGTTGTTTATCCCACAAGTCCATTGCTTGCAATGGAGTCATCTTTTTGAGCAACCGTGGGTGTTCAGAGAAACATGTCTTCAAACACCACGGTGTGCTAAGGTCTGCTGTGCAATATGGCAAAAACGATAGAAAATGCAAAATTTGAATGGGTCGGACGGAAATCAATAGCACAAACTGCCAATTTTATCACAAGTGCATTTTTCGATTTGTATTGATATATCGACACCGATGGCAGGCATGATGAACGAACAAAAACGTCCAGCAAATGTGTAAGATTCGGTCAAAACATTGAAGAACTGAAATCCAAAGTAAAATGCATCTGCTTGGACCACCACAAACTGACATTGTGTTCATGAATCATGTTGAAATCGAAGTACATCGTGAAGACGCATCATGTGGCTTGACTTGAGCCGGTAACTCGACATAGGTCGTTTGTGAGCGGCGGTTTTTGCGATAGGTTTTTTCTTCAGACAGAGGTGCCTGTTCCAAATGGCCTTTTCATTGGGCCTTCGTGGAATTTCCAACAAGGACGGCGTGATGAAGTGTCCAAGATGTTGAATCCTGTGGCTGCAGCATGAAATGTGGTGCAAGTAATGGTTTCATGCATGTCAATCCCACCGTCTGAACGCAAGGCTGTGCAACAGTTGTGAACTGCCTGTGTTGTGCAAGTGGCACTCCGCATGAGAGTGGTCCAGTCGTGGTTGCATGGTGTGGTGAGGTTTGTCAACGCCGCTTTGCATGGAGGTTGTGTTGCGCCAACGCTCGTTTGTGTGGAGCTGTGTGGTGTCTGAACGCTGGCGCATTGAAAATTGCAGGGTGTTGAGGCTGGTTTTTTTGGGGGTTGTGGTTCCAAAAGCTGCACACACTTTGCACCGCAGATGCGCATGCATTGTTGTTGTTGTTGTTGTTGCCAGTAGACACATCGGTGATGCTGGCGAGGGGAGAGCTGGGGTTTCCAAAGTGTTGATTGATCACCACAAGGGGAAGGCCCATTGCAACACTTGTTCCCTCAATGTTCAACATTGAGCATTGTCGCCAACTGTCACAACCTGCACATCTTTGTGAGAAGAGCAGATTTCAACTCTTCCTGACTTGCAGTCTTTGCCTTGTCTCACAAACACTTCGTTAAGCTTCAAGAGTTGAGATTGCAGCGCACTGTTCATTGAAAATGTTGGCCAAATGGGGCTGAATCCAAAAGTGCGAAGCCTCTTGTTTGCAAAGCTGAATTCGAACTCCTCTTGGCATTGGACTGCACAGGAACCAAAACTTTCACCAATTGCAGTGCTCTTTCGCTCACGAAGCCAACAATCCACATGCCACAATGCACCTGGTCACCTGGTCTTCTCCTCTGCATTTACGAAGCCCCAATCGAAGTTTTTTCATGAATTTCCTCAAGCCCTTCACGTGGCCCTCATCAACTGCACTCAAGTGCTTCTCAAAGACCCATGACCACTCCCAATCTCTTATTGTGTGACTTACAATCAAAACTGTATGGCTTTGCTGCAAATTCTGACCAACCTCTCATTGATGACCTCTTGTCTTCAACTGTTTTCTGTGCTTAGCTGCTGGTGTTGCTGCCAGCATGCTCTATGCTTTTGTTTGATTTTTTCTGATCTCCTCCATCTTCTCCTTGCCATCCGCCAGAGTGACACGCTCCTTGGCACGAGATCGCGATACCGAACTCTTTGTCCACTCAAACCGACCCCGACGCACCCCGCTAAGGCCTCGTCCACACCAGCGCGATCGCACTGCGGCATGCTGCTGGACTTTGCCTTCAGCTTCACACGGCAAGGAGGTGTGTGAAATTTGATGGATGAGGAAATGGATATGTGGGCGCAGTGCACTGACAGCGGGTCAGTTTACAAGCAGCTTTGTGGAGAGCAACTGTTTTGAGAACAGCAGCGTCCATGTTTAAGCGCTTTGCGCAGCAGTAGCTGTGAGTTTTTGTGCATTTCAAGTGTTTTAACGCGCGTTCCTTGTGGAACTTTGTGTTTCGAATTGTTTCGAGAGCTTTAGGAAGCTCAGCTCGTGGAATGTATGGACACTTTGTGAGCAGAAGTCTTTGCAGCTTTGTGAGTGAATGTTTCTTGAACAGTTTTGTGCATATTTGAGTGCGTTTAAGCTTGACACTGTCATTGTCTCGCATGGGAATTTTGGAAGCAGGAATACCTTACAACCTTTTGCGCGTAACTTTGGCTCAAGGCGTGGTGCGAGTGCTTTCGCTTTGCTTGTGAGCTGTTGCACGCACTTTCGCTTTGTGTTTCGAACCTAGTAGATTCTGGTCCACACACTATTGGCGCATCTGCATGGCAGCACTGTCACCAACTCCAGATTGTCAAACTCCCTATTACCGTGTTGCGTATCAAAGAAGGCTCCTTCCAAAGTTGCTATGCACTAGTTACGGTCGTTGCGCCGGGATGCGTGGACTTTGGCTACCGAGCCTTTGCTGAGCGCTGTGCGCTCCAGTGCATTGGCACAAGTGACGATGGTGCCAACATACTTGCCCCTGGAGCTACACTGGCCCCGCACCTCTTTGAGAGCTGACTTATGCTCTCACATTCTTTTTTGCACGGGTGGAGCCGCCGTTTATGCAGGAACTGCATAGGTCAGCTTGCGCTGCTTTTGAAAGAGTCTCTTGCATGAAGTGCCAAACAACAAAAACCACACCAACCCAAACCAACACAAATGTTAAGCAGCGGACCCTTTTTGAACCACACGCGCTACGACGATACATCGATAAGAACAGATACTACACAAGTCAACTCAGTGACAACTGTTCCTATCACCTAGTAGCCTAGAAAAGCTTGACACGCTAAGCGTGCTAGCTAAGCTTTGTTCTGCTTTTCTAAGTGAAGCACCACCATCGTCTAGGTGGCCGTAGGTTAAAGGCCGCTTCACCTTTCCGTTCAGCATACCCTGTACACTGCGTTCCGGCACCATAGTGCTATTTCAACAAGAAATCATTGTGAATTCTGTTGTACAATGCTCGACAAATCAATGCATTGTTTCGTAGTGTCAACGTATCGACAATTCGTTGGTTCAGCTGGTACAACGAATGTCCTCATGCACATTGAAATTCAAATCAACTGTCCTCCATCCTTGGCTCATTAGCCGGCTCACCATTGTTTGTTGTCGTTGTTGTCCCATCATTTGTATGTTCGACAGGACTCATTTCATGATCACTCTCGTTGTCCTCACTTGCACTGCTCCAATGATGAAGATTCATCCACATTTCCTGATCCGAAACCTCATCAAGCGGTGCATGAAGGTATCGTGCTACCCTCGTGTCTTCCGACTCATGTTCACTCTCTCCACTTTCATTTCCATCATCATCATGCTCTCCATCTTCATGTTCAACTTCATTTCTGCTTGCTCCAGGGTTGTTTGTCCCGTAGTTCCTCCAAGGAATATTGTCAGGGTCAAAATAACCTTGATCTTCTCCCCCAATCAACTCACCAGCGCTTCTTGCGTTGTCCACTGGAAGCGCCTCCTCACCATCTGTGAAAAACTCAGGGGAATCATCTCTTGGAGAAAGGTCTGTCATATTGAAGCAAAACTCATGGGCTCTCATCCGAACTGTTCTGCTATGGTCCAACTCTAATGCGGCCAACGTTGCGCCCAGAAGTCTCCTGCGCTGTTCATAGGCGCGCCGCCTTGCTTCTGTCATTTCTTCTCTTTGAAGTCTTCCTGTCACTCTGCCAGCCATCCAATACAAAAACCATTCAGGACTCCAGGGTGCCCACCTTGGCTGAAGGGTTGAAGGTGGTGGCGGAAATCTCGGAGCTCTCGGAATATCATCTCCTTGAATCTGACTTGGGGCATTGTCACTTGGAATCTGGTTCGACGAACTTGCTCCTGATGCTGAGGGAAGTTCCAACCTAGGTCTCACTCTTGTTTTTCGATCTTCAACATTGCTTTCAACTCTGCCTTCTTCCATGGTTTCTTCTTCTCTTGATGTTTCTCCCATCTTTCGTTTGTTCTGTCTTCTGCCAGTCAAAACAGCTACCATCTCGTGCCAATGAACATGTAGCCAATTGACAAGGCCCAACACCAGCAATACAATGACGGTCAAATAAAATTGTTGATGTTGTTTGTCTGGATTGTTGCTCACCTGCTCATCGTTGTCCATGCAACCTTTCAAACTCAAGGCTTTAATCAAGATAGCACTCTGCGCCAGTCTCTTGTTGTTCACGTTGTGTACCCAGCGACATGCTCTTTGCACTTGATTCTTCCAAAATTGGTCAGCAAAATAAGAAATCTGTTCATCTTCACCAATACTCTCGATAACTTCATTCTCTCCATTCAGCTTGACCGCTCCCAGAAAGGATAGCAAAAACTTTCGCCGGCTTGCTGAGAGTTTCTTTGTGTTCAGGTCTGCAATATTTGTTTGAGTTGCTATAGGAAGAACCTTGAGCACCTGATTCCTCACAGCATCTTGTAGCCAGCAAAGTCTAACATCTATATGCTTGAGCCTTCCAAGCCCAGAACGTTGTAACCACTGCCTTCCGCTAGATGAATCGCTTCTCGCTTCCAATTCAACTCGCACCCCCATCATGAACTGCCATACCTCTTTCAGCAAAATGGCTTCACTGGCCCCAGAAGTGAGGGCTAACACTTCAGCCTCACAAGAACTCAACGAAACTGCCTTTTGTGTTCGGCTGTACGACAAAATTGGCAAAGAGTTCAACAGCACGATAACTGAAGTAGTCGACTTTCGTGCTGCTCCTCCAGCCCAGTCGCTGTCGCAGAAAATCTCCATCACATGTTCTTCTCCACCAAAATCACTCTCTGTGACATTGTTCAGCCTTCCTGCCATCTTGCTTCCAGGAGGGGTGTAAGGTAAGCGGAATGTCAAATCTGCTGTCC